TGCCTGTCAATGTCCATCAGTGCCACCTACTAGTGCCTCCTCATCAGTGCCACCTATCAGTGTCCATCAGTGCATCTTATCAGTGCCCATTACTACAGCCTCATTAGCGTACATCAGTGAAGGAGAAAAAATCACTTATTTAAAAAATTGTATAACAAAAACTAGGAAAAAACTTTTTTTTTTTCAAAATTTTCAGTGGTTTTTGGTTTAAGAAAAAATAAAAAACCCAGAGGTGATTAAATACCACCAAAATAAAGCTCCGTCACAAACAAATGATAAAAATTTCATATGGGTATAGTGTTGCATGGCTGCGCAATTGTCATTCAAAGTGTGACAGTGTTGAGAGCTGGAAATTGGCCTGGGCAGGAAGGGGGTATAAGTGCCCTGTAGGCTAGTGGTTACATAAAAGCAAAGGATTTAGATGCAATTGTAATTTTCAGTGTGCTGCAATGAAAGAAAGGAGAACAGGGCTGAATATAGAGTGTAAAAAAAATAGCAAATGCCTATGCACATAAGTTTTGCTAAAGCTGAAGTTTAGGTTTGGCAATTTTACCAGCTTGGACCAATGTACAGTGGATATAAAAAGTCTACACACCCCTCTCAAAATGTCGGGTTTCTGTGAAAAATGGGACAAAGATAAATAATTTCAGAACTTTTTCCACCTTTAGTGTAACCTACACAGCTCAAAAGAAATTAAAGGAACACTTTTTAATCAGCGTATAGCATCAAGTTAATTAAACTCCTGGGATATTGATCTGGTCAGTTAAGTAGCAGAGGGGGTTGTTAATCAGTTCCAGTTGCTTTGGTGTTAATGAAATTAACAACAGGTGCACTAGATGGGCAACAATGAGATGACCTCCAAACCAGAAATGGTTTTATAGGTGGAGGCCACTGACATTTTTCCCCCTACCCATCTTTTGAGTCACTACTGGTCAGTGTCACTACTGGTAGCATGAGGTGATACCTGGACCCTACAGAGGTTGCACTGGCAGACCAACTCCTCCAGGATGGCACATTAATCCGTGCAATTGCCAGAAGAATTGCTATGTCTCCCAGCTCAGTCTCAAGAGCATGGAGGAGATTCCAGGAGACAGGCAGTTACTCTAGGAAAGCTGGAGAGGGCCGTAGAAGGTACTTAACCCATCAACTGGACCAATATCTGCTCCTTTGTGCAAGGAGGAACAAGATGAGCACTGCCAGAGCCCTACAAAATGACCTCCAGCAGGCCACTTTTGTGAATGTCTCTGACCAAACAATCATAAACAGACTTTATAAGGGTGGCTTGAGGGCCTGACATCCTCTAGTGGGCCCTGTGCTCACTGCCCGGCACCATAGAGCTCGATTGCCATTTGCCATTGAACACCAGAATTGGCAGGTCCGCCACTGGTGCCCTCTGCTTTTCACAGATGAGAGCAGATTCACCCTGAGCACATGTGACAGATGTGAAAGGGTCTGGAGAAGCCGTGGAGAACATTATGCTGCCTGTAACATCATTCAGCATGACCGTTTTGGTGGTGGGACAGTAATGGTCTGGGGAGGCATATCCATGGAGGGACGCACAGACCTCTACAAGCTAGACAATGGAACCCCGACTGCCATTAGGTATCGGGACGAAATCCTTGGACCCATTGTCAGATCCTACGCTGGTGCAGTGGGTCCTGGGCTAGTTCTGGTGCACGACAATGTCTAGCCTCATGTGAAAAGAGATTGTAGGAATTTCCTGGAGGATGATGGAATTGATACAATTGAATGGCCCCCACACTCACCATGACCTAAATCCAAAAGAACACCTCTGGGATATCATGTTTAGGTCCACCCGACACCACCAGGTTGCACCTCAGACTGTCCAGGAGGTCAGTGATGCCCTGGTCCAGATCTGGGAGGAAATACCCCAGGACACCATCTGCCGTCTTATTAGGAGCATGCCCCAACGTTCTCAGGCATGCATACAAGCACATGGGGGACATACAAACTAAGTACTATTTTCAGTTGCTGCAATGACATTTGAACAAATGAACTAGCCTGCTGCATCATTTTTTCACTTTGATTTTTGGGGTGTTTTTTTAGTCCTCTGTAGGTTTAATTTCTATCAAATGATGGGGCATCTTTAGGTTTCAAACACATTACCCAGTCCATATCAGTATAGATATCCAGAATGATAATTTTTCCCCACTGAGATCTGATGTATTTTCAAAGTGTTCCTTTAATTTTTTTGAGCAGTTTATAAACTGTACAACTCAGTTGCACAACAAACTGAAATCGTTTAAGTGGAGAGTAGTAAAAATTAAAAAATAAAAATAATGTGGTTGCATAAGTGTGCACACCCTTAAACTAATATTTTGTTGAAGCACCTTTTGATTTTATTACAGCACTCAGTCTTTTTGGGTATGAGTCTATGAGCATGGCACATCTTGACTTGGCAATATTTGCCCATTCTTACTTGCAAAAACACTCCAAATCTGTCAGATTGCGAGGGCATCTCCTGTGCACAGCCCGCTTCAGATCACCCCACAGATTTTCAATCATATTCAGGTCTGGGCTCTGGCTGAGCCATTCCAAAATCTTAATCTTCTTCTTGTCATGCTGTTCCTCTTCATGTTCAGCTTTCTAGCAGAAGCCTGAAAATTTTGTGCCAATATTGACTGGTATTTGGAACTGTTCAAAATTCCCTCTACCCTAAGGCCCCTATTCCAGCTGAAGAAAAATAGCCCCAAAGCATTATGCTGCCACCACCATGCTTTACTGTGGGTATGGTGTTCTTTTGTTGATGTGCAGTGTTGTTTTTTGTGCCAAACATATCTTGGAATTATGGCCAAAAAGTTCAACCTTGGTTTCATCAGACTATAACACATTTTCCTACATGCTTTTGGGAGACCTCAGATGTGTTTTTGCAAAATTTAGCCGGGCTTTGATGTTTTTCTTCGTAAGAAAAGGCTTCCATCTTGCCACTCTATCCAGACATATAAAGAATACGGGAGATTATTGTCACATGTACCACACAGCCAGTACTTGCCAGATATTCCTGCAGCACCTTTAATGTTGCTGTAGGCCTCTTGGCAGCCTCCCAGAAGTTTTCTTCTTCTCGTCTTCATCAATTTTGGAGGGACGTCCAGTTCTTGGCAATGTCACTGTTGCAGCATATTTTCTCTACTTGATGATGACTGTCTTCACTGTGTTCCATGGTATATCTAAAGAATTTGAATTTCTTTTGTACTCTTCTCCTGACTGATAACTTTTAACAAAGAGATCCCCCTGATGCTTTGCAAGCGCTCTGCAGACCATGGCTTTTGCTGTAGGATGCGACTAAGGAAATGTCAGCTGAACTTTATTTGGGGTTAATCAGAGGCACTTTAAATGATGGCAGGTGTGTACTGACTCCTATTTAACATGATTTTGAATTTGATTGCTTAATTCTGAACACAGCTACATACCCAGTTATAAGAGGGTGTGCACACTTATGCAACCACATTATTTTAGTTTATGTTTACTTCCCCCAAAAAAGATTTCAGTATGTTTTTCAATTGAGTTGTACAGTTTATAGGTCACATTAAAGGTGGAAAAAGTTCTGAAATTATTTTTCTTTACCTAATTTTTTTTACATCATAGAATCCTGACATTTTAACAGGGGTGTGTAGACTTTTTAAATCCACTGTAAGTATGTATGTGCCATACTTATGGAATCCCTGTGCAAGCTGAAAATCACTGTAACAGGCACTTCTACTATAGTGATCTCCACTAGCTTTTGGGTCTCATGTCATGCCAAGCGGCTTCCCTGTTGCCTAGTGAACACAGGAGATCACTCGCTAGGCACATGCGCTATTCAGAGAACACCTTGCATTTTCTCAATGAATGCAAACTGTTCTCTAACTGGATGAGATGGAGATTGTGATGTCACCATCCTACCTCCTTACCTTGTCCAATCAGAGAACACTTTGTATTCATTGAAAAAAATGCAAAATATTCCCTGAATGGAAAACAGACTGAGCAAGCATCCATCTGTGTTCACAATGCAGCAGGGCAGCTGCTCAGTTCAGGACCCATAAACTAGTGTTGATCACTGTAGTAGAGGTGCCTACAACAGTAATTTCCTGCTTCCATGTGGATTCCAAAGCTATGGAGCATACATATAGTTATATCGTTGGTCCAAACTGGACCAATGTAACTTTGTAAAAACTGCAATACCTAAACTTCAGTTTTAAGGGCATATTTACACATTGCGTTGCGGTAACATGCTATAGAATAGACAGCAATGCACTGCACCACAGCGCATAATCCATTTTGTCTGATAGGGTGCGTTAGCATCCATAATGAATAGGTTACATGTGAAAGGCACATTAATGAGTTAACACATTACAATAGACCTTAAAGTGGCTCCTTTATTAGCTGAGAGTGACACATATTTATTTATTTATTACAGGTACTTACACTCCCTGGCCACTTTATTAGGTACACCTTGCTAGTGCCAAGAAAATATCCCCCACACCATTAAACCACCAGCAGCATCCTGAACCATTAATACAAGGCAGGATGGATCCATGCTTTCATGTTGTATGACAAATTCTGACCCTACCATCTGAATGGCGCAGCAACCAGTCTGCCCATTCTCCTCTGACCACTGACATGAGCAAGGCATTTTTGTCCACACAACTGCTGCTCACTGGATATTTTCTCTTTTTCGGACCCTTCTCTGTAAACCCTAAATATGATTGTGCGTGAAACTCCCAGTAGATCAGCAGTTTTTGAAATACTCAGACCCGCCCATCTGGCACCAACAACCATGTCACTTTCAAAGTCACATAAACCCCCCTTTCTTCCCCATTCTGATGTTTGGTTTGAACTTCAGCAAGTCATTCTCACCACGTCTACATGTCTAAATGCATTGAGCTGCTGCCACATGATTGGCTGATTAGCAATTTGTGTTACCAAGCAATTGAACAAGTGTACCTAATAAACTGGCCAGTGAGTGTATACAGTGGCGTCAATTTACGCAGCGCTTTACATATACACTATATTGCCAAAGGTATTGGGACATCCCTCCAAATCATTGGATTCAGGTGTTCCAATCACCTCCATGGCCACAGGTGTATAAGATCACGCACCTAGTCATGCAGACTGCTTCTACAAACATTTGTGAAAGAATGGGTTGCTCTCAGGAGCTCAGTGAATTCAAGCGTGGTACCGTGATAGGTTGCCACCTGTGCAATATGTCCATCTGTGAAATTTCCTTGCTACTAAATATTCCATGGTCAACTGTTAGTGGTATTATAACAAAGTGGAAGCAACTGGGAACAACAGCAACTCAGCCAAGAAGTGGTAGGTCACGTAAAATGACAGAGCGGGGTCAGCGTATGCTGAAGCGCAGAGTGCGCAGAAGTTGCCAACTGTCTGCAGAGTCAATAGTTAAAAACCTCCAAACTTGGTGTTGTCTCCAGATTACCACAACAGTGCATAGAGAGCTTCATTGAATGGGTTTCCATGGCCAAGCAGCTGCATCCAAGCCTTGCATCAGCAAATGAATGCAAAACATTGGATGCAGTGATTCAAAGCATGCTGCCACTGGACTCTAGAGCAGTGGAGACGTGTTCTATGGAGGGACGAATCACACTTCTCTGTCTGGCAAAATGATGAACATGTCTGGGTTTGGCAGTTGCCAGAAGAATGGTACTTACCTGACTGCATTGTGTTAAGTGTAAAGTTTGTTGGAGGGATGATTATGGTGTGGGGTTATGTTTCAGGGGTTGGGCTTGGCCCCTTGAGTTCGAGTGAAGGGAACTCCTAAGGCGTCAGCTTACAAGGACATTTTGGACAATTTCATGCTCCCAAGTTTGTGGGAACAATTTGGGGATGCTGTTCCAACATGACTGCGCACCACTGCACAAAGCAAGGTCCATAAAGACTTGGATGAGCGAATTTGGGGTGGAGAACCTTAAGTGGACTGCATAGAGTCCTGACCTCAACCCGATAGAACACCTTTGGGATGAATTAGAGTGGAGACTGTGAGCCAGGCTCTCTTGTCTGACATCAGTGCCTGACCTCACAATTGCGCTTCTGAGAGAATGGTCAAACATTCCCATAGACACACTCCTAAACCTTGTGGACAGCTGTCCCAGAAGAGTTGAAGCTGTTATAGCTGCAAAGGGTGGGTCAACTCAATATTGACCCCTACGGACTAAGACTGGGATGCCATTAAAGTTCATGTGTGTGTGTAAAGGCAGATATCCCAATACTTTTGGCAATATACTCCCTAACCTCAAGGAACACACAGTCTAAGGCCCCTAACTCACATTCATACAAACACATACTATGGCCAATTTAGACAGGAGCCAATTAACCTACCAGCATATCTTTGGAGCATGGGAGGAAACTGGAATACTCAGAGGAAACCCACGCAGGCACACTGAGAACATGCAAACTCCAGGCAGGTGGTGCCGTGGTTGGGATTTCAACCGATGACCCTAGTGCTGCCAGATGGAATTGCTAACCATTTAGCCATTGTGTTATCCATATTATACTGTGAGCTTTCTTTCTTTAGCCAGTTCAGCTCTAAAACATTTTCATTGTTTGCACACGGCACATGGCCATAAAATTACTTAAACCCCCCATTATAAATTTTCTGAAAGCAGAGGTCCTCTAGAATAAAAAGACAGTAGTTGCAATTTGTTGCCCGATATTTGCACAATTGTCAAACACATATTTTCAGGAAGGAAAAAATATAATAAAATTAATTTTAGTGCAAACACACAATATATTACTATAGTATATAATACTATAATATTTTGGTAAAATATAAAAGATGGGGTTGTATCAAGTAATAATATCACGAAAGACTAAGGTACCCAAAAATCTCCATAGGCGATGCTTTAACACCTTTACTGCTCATCGATTTAGAATTATCTGTGAGTGCTAGAATTATAGCTCTCACTCCGATGTTCACTGTGATACATCATGCGTGGTGCAATCATCAGTTACATACACTCCCTGCACACACGTTTGCATTTGTGGGTATGTGCAGGGCAACGGATGTTACGTTGAACTTTTTTTTTTTTTAATTTTATCATAACTTAACCCCCATATGACAGCACTGGGCAGAAGACAGGTACTCTTTATGGAGACACTGAAGTGTCTTAGACCACACTGTCTCCCCTGCCCTACAAAGCAGCTAACCAAAGATAGTGCTTGGTTAGCTGCTTCCCTGGCTGTAACAGACAGTGGACCACACTGTTTGCACTGTAAAAGTAATCTGGCGGCTATGCAGCCACCCCAATCACTTGTACTTTACAACCAGGTGCTGTATTTCATTATTTAAAGTAGCAATGCAACCTCGAACCATAAAATACCCACCACCATGCTTCACACATGGTAATAGGTTCTTCTCCTGCAATGTTGTTGTCCATTTGTACCAAATATATCTACTGTGGCAAAACAGCTTTGCCATTGATTCATCAATCCACAGCATCATTGTTCCAGAAGGCTTTTTTTTACCTATATGTTCAAAGGCAAACTGTAGTCTTGCTCAATTGTTCTTTTTGAACAGAAAATACTTTTCCTGGCACAGTTTCCAGGGTAACTTGGTGCAATTTGCCAACTGAATTACATGCAGATCCACAAAGAAATTTTGGAGTTCTTGAAGACTGCTCTAGGGCTGAGTATGCTCAGCTGGTCAGTCTTGGACAAATTAGCAGTCATTTTAAATCTACACCCCTTATACATTTTTTTCCCTACAGTGGAACAATTGATTTCAAACAATTTGGTGATCTTTTTAAATCCATTTCTAAGCTCATAGGTATTTACAACCTTCTTTCTGAGGTCTTTTTTGATTATGGCATGTGTCACTCACTCACACACTAGTCAATATCAAAGAGAAAACCAGACCCTGGATATCTGATATTTAAATAAGACAGGTTCTACCAGCATGCTCCTTAAGGAGGTTCTAATTATTGGCATCTAATTTGGAACATCTGATTCTAATTTCAAGGATTTGAAGTGGTAGTAAACATAGGGATCTCCTTAATTTTTTGCAGGTAACAAATCTGCACATTCGTTAATTTAGATTATGTGAATGAATACATCATCTCAGTGTTATGTGTCATTTATGTGTCACCTTTATCTGTAGGCACCCTTTGAACAAAGATCTAATGTTTGCTTGTTCAAATAAGTTGAAATAAATCAACAAATTCCTTGGGGTTTACCTACTTTTTCTAATGACTGTAGGCGATGAACAAAATGCACAGATAGAAATGAAAAAGAATGATTACAGAAAATATAGTAAAAGGCCAATTCCAGACAAACTGCATATGTTTTGGATAGAAGGGGTAAAGATTGGAACCCCTACTGAGTTTTTACTGCTGGGTCTCTATAGGGATTTAAATTCACTTACAATGTGTAGGATAAAAGAGAAAGGGGAAATTTCCCAATAGGAAAGACCGACAACAACAACAAAAAAAACATTTTTGTAGAGTGGGGAACAGTTGAAACCTGTTATGTTTCCCATCACTGTCTGTTCAAATAATAGGTGTCAGAACAGGAAGTGAGGGGAAATCTCCCTAAAGGTGACAGAGGTAGCATTTCAAAGTTTACAGAGCTTTTATCTCTTTACTGCTAAAACTATGCAAACATTTTGGCCTTGAAGTATTGATTCCATGGATTACTGGTTCTGCAGACTTGACCAGTAGCCTAGACCAGTTTGCAACTCTGAATCTTTAATCTCCACTCTCCAGCATCCTTTCTGAGAGAGCATCCATTATGGTCAATGATTTTGTTTACCTGCAAGCATAGAGGACTGTTGGCTGCAACAGCAGACTCATTTTTAAATATATAGAAAATTAAAACAGACAGTTGGAGCCACCTTATTCCTGATAACAGATTGCCCCTCAATCAATCTTGCCATCACCATGAAGAAAAAAATATTTAAAAATGTTTTCCCTGTCACCTTAGTGTGGCAATGCCAATAAATACATTCAAACACTTAGCACATTTATAAACACATGTAAGGGGCAGAGGGCAGTCTAAAAATAAAAGCAGTGAAAAATAAGAGACAATTATTATCTTGAGCTTTATAAATAGGCCATTGTTTGTCTTCTTTTGATTGATGATGTGCTACTGATGATGGAAACTCATGATTCTAGATTTTTTTTTTAAATTCTTCTTTAAAATAAGCGAATGTTTAAAAGAAGTGTAGCGTTTTACTTGTTCAATCACGATGAATACTAGGGGTCCGGAGAACATCTAAACAAAGGCCCAGCTCATTGTCCTTCAGACTTTAGAGGGGCAGACTGTGGCTAGTGAGAGTAGAAAATGCCCTGGAATCAATGGCCAGTGGGTGAAATGTTATACAAGGCAGATCTTAAATGTGAAGGATCCAGAGGATATTTACAGGGGTTAGACAAAAAAAAAATGGAACCACTACATGATTTGCAGGTGTGAAAGTGACATGTTGATTGTAATCATTGTAGTGATGTAACATTCTTTGCTTCTGCTGTGTGATAAGACACTTTGCTAACAGGTAGGAAGGCTAACTTTCATCATTCACTGTGTGCGCTGCTAGTAATACAGTCATGTCAGAACTTACTGAGCTTCAAAGATGGCAAGTTGTTGGTGTCCTTTTAGCTGGTGCCTCTGTGATTGAAGTTGCCAATTTATTTGCGAAGTACAGTATCAAAGGTTATGACGGCATATACAGTTTCCAGGAAAATGTTGTCTGATAAAAATAAGTGTGATCGACTGAAAGACTGACTGAAAGAGACAAAAAGGAAAATGCGCAGGATTGTGACCCGGAATAAGAAAACAACTGCTGCAAAAGTGACTGCAGAGCTCAATCTCAGTCTTGTGAAGACAAAATTAATAAACGTCCGCACTATAGGTAAGGAGACCCTCTAGACATTCCAGTCCTTATATGGCTCAGAGTTGACATCTTCAATCTTGCCAGTAACAACCACCGAAAGTCTCCATCATTGATGACCACCACTGTAAGCACTATAAGCAGTACTGCACTCTTCAGTTCAGGGAACTCCACTACTAGAAAACGAGCATAGGAAGGAAGCACACCAGCTTAGTGCATTACTGTAAGACTTTTTATTGAATAAAATAAGATGCTCCTATGTATTCACAAAAGAAACTGAAGTAAAATGCATACAGCAATATCCATCCCACCGCCAGACACATGTCCACCAAAAGGGTACAGTTTATGT